TAAAGAAAATGAAAGGAAATTGAGTCTCCACCAGCAAAGTCAAAGAAGTTGCTGTTAGCACATGATCTGTATACCTTCCTTGTTTATCTAATGGTTCGTGAAGCCACACAGTGGACAGGTGGTGCCTTCCTTTCTGCTGCACTCTAGTTGGTCACAGCATCACAGGTCTCTGGAGACCGGGCAATCAAGAATTTGTGTTCCTAATGACAGTATTCAACAGTGGTTTGCAGCTCAGTTACACACTGGAAAAATCTTTACTCCTTGTTTGACTGGGGAGATAGTCCCTGTCAGCTATCTGGATATTCTCATAATGTGGCTGTTGAATTGGTCATATCTTCTGTTGGGTTTAGACTGACACTGTGGAGCTTCACAATTGCAGTAAAAAGCAGATAATTCTAGTATTTCATGGACTCTGGGTGGCAATACAAAATAAATGGACCAAGAAAAATTACTATATGAGTATCCCTGTTTTCTAACAAAACCGCTGGCTAGATTTCACAAAATTGAAAACATCCTTAATCCAGAAAACTGTAAAATAACCATTCATGCTGGAAGCTCCACATTCTTTCTCTTCTCTCCCTAGTGCACTTGTTCTTGCATAATATATATGCATATATTATATACTTATGTATTATATATTTTCCCTAAATACTGTATTTTTAATTCAACATGAAATATAGCCAGGACAGGACTTAGAATGGGCAAAATTCCTTGGTACACATTGTAATGGACATGGAGACTGATTGTCAGTCTCACCTTCACTGACTATTCCAAAAAGTCAGTAAAATACCAGTTGATAATTTAAAATTTTTTCTTCAAATGTCTTTCTTTGGGGTCTAAACATTAAGGAAAAAATTTTATATATACAGGAGTTCTATAATTTTGATTGTTGAAATTTGAAAGGTTGAAAGTTTACTTCATCTGTCTTAGGGAACAGAATACATTTAATATATTAATTTTTTTATTAATTTTTGACTGAATAGTTTTTCTAAATTTTTTTAAAAATTTCCATGAGGCAGGCATTATTTTAGATGTTATACCTATGTTATATCCCTTAATTTCCTGACAACTATAATGATGTAGAAATTTGTTTACTTGCTGTTTTATAGAGGAAGAAACTGAGGCTGCATGCTAAAATACCTGTGTGTTGTAGTTCATGAAGTGTACTCAGAAATTGACATTCAGACTCTGCTTTATTTAGTGCTAAAGTCTATGACTTTTATGTTATGCTTTTAATTGTTTTATCCTATGCCATGCTTGTTCATTGTTAAAATTCTAAGATCCTGTAAGATTCTAGTCTTTCAGGAAAGAGTAAACTATCTTTGAGGGTGATATAATTTTAGCCAGAAAAAGATGTATCAAAAGTTTAGAATCTTTTCAGTATATTAACTCCATTTAAAAATATTTATTATTGTTCAGTTTACTTCTATAAAATAATTTTCATTTTCAAGATAATGACAAGTGAATTATACCTAAAGATAGTTAAAATAAATATTACTGTTAAGTAAACACATAAGACAAGGTCATGGTGTCAGCCAAATTATTGAACAGGGATGAGTAAACTATGACCATTTTTGTAAATAAAGCTTTGTTGGAACACTGCCACACTGATTTGTGTATGTATCATATGAGGCAACTTTTATTTAGTAACAACAAAGTGGAATGGTTGTGGCCTCCCTCCCCCCACGGTACTCCCTCCCCCCCGAGGTAGAGTCTAAGATATGTACTATCTAGAGCTCCATAGGAAAAGTCGGTAGGCCCTGTTCCTGAATCCAGTGGTTTTGTTTGTTTTTGTACTGGGAGAGGGAGGGATTGAACTCAGGACTTACGTTTACCAGGCAAGCACTTAAGCCACTGAACTATCTCCCCAGCCTACCTTCACCTCCTTAACTTTGAGTTAGGATTGCTTTTACAAATTGCTAGAAACATAATTGGGAATAACATTTTAAAACATTCCAAACTCTCAGTCTTATTTAACATGCACTTGTTCAAACTTTGCAGGTACCAACCAAAAAGCTGAAGAAATATGAAAAAGAATATCAGACAATGCGGGAGAGCCAGCTGCAACAGGAAGACCCAATGGATAGATACAAGGTAGGGGGGCTGCTTTGCACCTGCCAGCAAAGTACTTTTTTACCCTATAGCAGCATCTGTGGCAAATCCAGTTCCCTGTGTTCCACTCTTACTGGCTTAAATGCTGTTTGAACATGCTAACTGTCCGGGTACGTCTTCATCTGAGACTCCCAAGTAGCCAACCATATTTCTTTTCTTTCAGTTTGTATATTTGTAGGTTACTCCAGCTGTTGCATTTATACGGGGACTCTTCATAAGAAGCTGAGAGGGAAAAGGAAGCAAAGTGGCTTTCTACTTTCAAAAATGAGAGAAAAAAAAGAAAATGGCAAAGTACTGTTTTAGCTTTGCATGATCACTTCCACAGAGACTTTTAGAAGGTGAACTGTTTCAAGACTGACACAAGGATGTTTCTTCTGTCTGTAGCAAATGTTAAAAAGTGCAAACTCATTCAGAAGGAAAAATAAAAGGCACAAAGGTATATCAAGCACAGTAATGGCGTTTGTTGCAACATTTATTTCTACAACTTGATGGATAAGAGTGCTATCTGCGTATAGTTTTCAGTCTCAAGTGATTTTAGGGTTTTTATTTTGGTTTTTGTTTGTTTGCTTTCTTTTTAGCAGAACCGGGGATTAAACTCAGGCCCTTGTGCTTGCCAGGCAAGCGCTTATTCTACTGAGCCATTTCCCCAGCCCCCTAATTTCAGTTTTAGTGTCCTAGTTAGTCATACTTTTTCAAAACAGGCCATTCACAAAGGTAGACCTCTTCAGTGGTACTGAGCAACACTGTCCCTGGAGCCAGTGCTGTACCTTTTCCATGTGAAACATCATTGTTTCTTCAACATGGTCTAATTCTTTAGACTCACACAGTGTAGCTCCCCCTCTTCACATTAGCCTGCCAATGCCAAAATGTCCTACTAAGAAAAGTACTGTTGTGGCAATTAAAATGAAATCACTGTGGGATAGCCTCCACTTTTATAACCAGAATTGTCTTTATGTGGTTGGAGAGCTGGACAGGGATACCACAGTCATACAGTTTGTCTTCACTTGGCCGCTGAATTGAGTAACATGGGTTGTGGACAGAGAATGGTAGAAGCTGTGTGTGGATTTTGTAGTCAGACCAGAGTTCAAATCCTGAATCTTTAAAGCATGTATCCATTTGGAATATTGAATAATCCTAGTTGGGGATTTTAGTATCTGTGTCACTGTTCATCATCTTGGACTAAATATTGAACCTGTTTCTCCTATGTAAGATGCATAGCATATATGATTGCTCGGTGGACTGTAGTGAAGATCAGAGATGCTGTATGTTAAGTACTTGGCACACAGCTGGTGTTCAGTAAGTATGGTTATTGTTAGTTTACGAAGTTTACTACAGATTATAATCCTACAGCCATAGACAGGCCTGCCCCGTTGGTCCCTCAGATGTCTTCACATTTCTCCTAAATATTATTACCTCATCATCTAACATTAGTCAGTGTTTTTCCTCCTCTTGTTTAAAGAACAGGCCTGAGAACTGCTAATAAAATGCTATCAATACATTCGGTAGACAACTATTAGCAGGTAAGGTGCTCGTAATTTCTGCATTCATTATTCCCTCAGTAAGTCCCACCTGTAACAGACTGGTTTAGAAAGGCTTGAAACTGGTAATAGCAAGATATCATTAAAGATCCAGAATGAAACCTGCCTAACTACTTGTACCATTCTAATTTTCTTAATGCTACCATAATGATGAATACAAATCTGTGAACAGTTCTTTCAAATAAGGGAGAAAAGAAAAGGAAATTAAAACCAAACTTGTGCACTCAAAAACTGGCAGGGACTAAACTATTAATTGAGTCTTACATCCTTTTTGTATCAAAGCAGGTATGTATGTATAAATAATATGTATTTTATTTTTAAAGCACTTATAATATGTAAGTTTATCAGGATAGTTTTTAATTAGGGGGTATACAGTTAAACTTTGTTTTTGTTTTGAAAATAAATACTACTTTTAAGTTCAGTATTATGACCTCTTATTTGTACATATCAGATACCCTGTACAGTTCCTTCCCTTTGATTACTGTAATAATTTCTTATATATTATTTAATATTCCTACATCCTTTAATAATGCCTAGATATTTTTCCTGGTGATATATTTCATAAAGTTGCAATCCTGAAGTTACAGTTACATTTTCAAGATAAAGGACAGTGTGGTTTGACAACAGAGTTGACAGCATAGTTTATAACCACCAACAGATTTGTTCCTTCATATGATCAATACGTAGTTTAAGAAACTAATTACAATTATCTAAATTGGATCAGTAAGGCATCTTTGAAAATACCTTTAAGGATCTTCTAAGTTTAATCTTTTTTTTATTTTTTTTTAAAGTTTTATTGATAAACAGCAATGAGACAGTTTCAAATCAAATCAGAAATACAGTTTCAACAAATAATACACTGCATATATTCTTCTTAGTGGTTAATTGCTGTACAAGATGCGGACTTGTGATCCTATTTACAAACACCATTAGAACAAATCATTCTATTCATTAACAGAATGTAACTATATATCTATCCCAACCTCTTTGAATACACAGATACAAAATGGACATTCATCGATATACCCCATTTTTTCTATGTTCCGTTATTGAATATTATAGGTGTGTAAACTCAGCAAAATATTCTAAAAGAGTCCAGTAGCCCATAATAGCATTGGGTCTTCTGTTTAACTGGCAATGTTAGAAATTGTTGACCTGAGTCCCCCACTGCTCAACATAACAGCATGGCTTTACATCCTATATTTCGTCTTCATACTTTTCTGCTGGATGGTTAAGACCAAGGTAAAGCAGGACCTATGTAACAAGAGTTGTAGCTTTTTGGTCTGAGAAGGCCAGTGAAATGCCCTCAGGATTTATCCTGAGATCCTGTACCTCAGATTGTAGAACCTTTGTCAGTGTCAGCCATGTGGATGAGTCACGGCCATTGCTTGGCCGTCACAGCCATTGCTTGGCCTTCTAAGTTTAATCTTGTCAAGAATAAAATCTCCATTCCATACCTTATGATTCCTAGATTTGGGGCTGGAACCCCAGTTGATGAACAACTATGGAAAGTATCTGAGAGCATTGCAGTGGTCAGTAATGCCCCGCCTTATGAGACTCACACTGCTTATGGTGTCATGCCCACCCTCTCGCTTGCCATAAGACAAGAGAGGTAGGGACATTGTGGTAATCCTTTTTTTTAAATACCCAAAAGTGTCATACAGGATATATGTAAAATATTCTATGATGTATCTCAGTTTAATCCTGTTTCTCTTGGATTTGGAAGCAGATGTTAAAGGGATGTAACAGGCAGATAGTTGTATGGCACACACTGTAGTCCCAGCTACTTGGCGGCTGACGCAAGAGGATCATGAGCTCACAAATTCAAGACCAGCCTGGACAACATAACAAGACCCCATAACAAAAAGAAAAGGAATGAATGAAAGGGCAGTTTCAGAAAAGCCAGAGTTGGAATTAAAGACCCAGTAATGCAACAGGCTCTCCTCAGTCATGCTTCTTGCTGTATCAGTCTAGACATGGGCTTTGTGCCTATTTTTATTTTTACTTTTTTATTTTTATTTTATTCTATTTTTTTGGCAGAACCGGGGATTGAACTCAGGCCTTTGTGCTTGCCAGGCAAGCGCTTGTTCTACTGAGCCATCTCTCCAGCCCTGATGTGCCTATTTTTATGACATGCAAACATCTACATTCTCAGGTCCTATCATTATATTCACTTGTATTCAACACCTCAATCTCAACTGCAAATAAGAGGAAGATAGTTTTGGTATAAATTTAAACCTTAAAACAGTAAGCCTGGGGAAAATATTGTAGATTTAAGCAGTAGTGATTGTTGCAAAACTTTGTAAATATAGCGAAGCTACTTAATTGGAAATTCACAGGCCTGATTTTGCAGTTTATATGAAACCACCTCCCATCCCCCCAAAATAAGCAAAATATTCAAACAGGGTAAACCTGTGGCCCAGCATTTTTCTTTCATGAACTCAAAATGACACCGGAGGTACTGATGTAGAATCCGTACTTGTGGGAGTGCAGCCTGCCTATTCTCAGAATTCAGGCCAGCTACTAATCACTGATCCTATGTGTGCCCATATTTGTAGGCCAAAGACCAGCACAAGTGGGTGCCATTCATTTCAGTAATGCTCATTAATTTCTAGGTAAAATATAAGTTGTCCATAGAATACACATATATACACAAAGGCAACTTATGTAAATGAATAGGTACCCACATGTACACTCTGCCTTACCATCCGCTCTCAGCCTCAGTTTGTGCTTGAAACTCAGAGAATATCCATAACCTTTAGTGTTCTGTTCTGTTTAATTTCTTGATGGCACTAAAAGACAGAAAGGAAACTTCTTGGAAGACAAATAAAAATATTTATTCTAAACCTCTTTTGCTAGCTTCCTTAACTTGTGGATGGTCAAATTTGTATAATATTCTTTATGTACTCTGATAATTCAATTTGTAAATTAGTCAGTTGCTTTCAAATGACAAAAATGAGTGTAGAAGTATGTCACGTACTTTTCATTGTTGTGCAGGTCCCCAGCAAGTACACATTCATGGGTATGCATAGCTGTTTTAGAGCGTTTTTTTAAACTGGTAATCACACTCTCAAGCAGGTACTAACTTCAGAAATCAAGGTACTATATTCAGTCTTTAGGAAATGAATTGTTTTCATTGTGGGGAAAAGTAGTTTGTAGTGTTCTAGTCAACTTAAAGAACTGCAGCTTTCCTCTGCCTTTGGAGAATGAAGTAATTCTTGTTTAATTAAAGAACTACTTTCATAAATGTAATTTAAGCCTTTAAAAACATAGCTAATTAATTAAATTTAGTGAATCTCCCAGAGCACAATAAAGGTGACCTGTTCAGATTGGGAAATTGCAGAAGGAATCTGGAATACTTGTATTCTCTTGGGCTTCATATACAGTTGATATTATATACATAATTTTTTTGGAATACATTATCCTACTTCAGTATAATTAAAT